ACATAATGATCTCGACAAACGTTTCGTTAATAACACGAAACTTCGTCAATAGGTTTTGTCGCCGCGTTTCGTTGAACCACGCAATTCGTAAAGGTTCCATAGGCATTGAATATACACGCAATAAGCATCGTAATGTTGCTCGTCGAACGTCAGCCATGTAAACTACGATTTTGTAAATCGATTCTATCGAATACTGAATCTCGACTGGGCAACGTTCCGCGTTCCACAGTTTCGATATACTTTTACAAAAGGTGTCGCGTCGTAATAGTCTGCGTCATACTTTCGATCGCGCCCCGTGTACGTTACAATATACGAATCCCACTTAATCATACTTACTAAGATTAACTGTTTTAATTAGAACAATATTTTCGTAATCGTGTCTCCGTGGTTAGCGTTCACCTTTCGTACGTTATCGCGGGTTCTGTCGATACTTGACTAATAATTATCGATTACTGAGAAACTCTATCTTTGGTAGTAATATCTTACTGTATTTATAATATCGTAATTAATCACGATAATACATATATTCGTTGCATCGGCTACGTATATATACATATGCATATAGGCGCACACATATATGTATGTACAATACAATGTATACCACACGTATACATATATGTACATCGTCGATGCCTTACATGTACTGTACGTATAATCTCATATATCTTTTAAATATATTTTACAGCATACAGTTCTGAGATACTTTTCTGTTCAACAAAATTTTTCATCTAACGCTCATACGCACTCGTCTCACGTTCATACTTAAAGCGCTAATTGAGTCAACAATTATCACACAGGAAACACGTCCCAGATAGCGTCTGGAAAATGAAAGTAGCTTGCGGGATAGCGGAGTGGTTCGACTGAGTACTTGGACCAGTTCGGACAACGGATACGTAGTGTTTACCAGCTTTTAGTATCGTTTCTTTTGATTTCGCCCGGCCGATCTCGAAAAGCCGAACGCTCTACGCGGCGACCGAAGAAACTTCAAGCATGGTTACCCTATACAATACTGAGTCTGATTCGATGACTAGTTATTCCCCATTCAACAACAAACTGTCTTCCCTTGTCTTTCTCTATCGACGCTCTCTTCCTTTTGTCGACGCTCGCGCGAAGCGTGATCTCGTTTCAACGATACATGTTATTTAGAAACAACTCATTCACAATGACGAATATTATATATGGTCGGTCTCGATCGGTGCTCTATACACGTGTAATAATCCCTAATAGAACATTATACCGCCGTATGATTCATCATTATCATCCGCGTTCATCTTTATCGTCGTCAACGTCTTATTCCTCTTCTGTCTCTTCACATTTTTTCGACGCGCTTCGTTCTCTTCTTTCATTCTCTCCCTCATCGTTCTTTCCTTCTTTCTTTCTTCCTTACTTTTTTTTTGTTCTTAAAAGTTAATAGTATCATTGACGAATAATCTATGTTAAGTTTTTTTTTCTTATTTCAACGTGGCTCCGGGCGAGGACCCAAGAAAATCATAATAACGATCGCTCGATACAACAATTAATAAGTAGCAATGAAATTATTGATTTCTTCCGGCAGCGCTCACAGTCGAAGTCGCCGCCCGTTCGAATCGCTCACGATCTTTTGTACTATCGTTTCGTCCACTTAACTGTGTCAGCCGGAAGCGGAATGGTCATTTTTTTCTTTCGTTCAAACGCTCTCACCCGAAAATCTCGCTCGATCTCTTTGGACGCCCGTGCACCGGCCTTACGCCGTTCATACTATCAGGATCGATTGCTTCGAACAGCGATTCCAAAGGAAGATTGACGGTGCGAGAGAGCCGCTCAGCCGTATTTCCATGTCTATTTCGTAGCGTACAATATACGAAGGTAAAACAACATAGAGTGCAACGAATACTAAAGTTTCCAATAAAATATTCAAAGGACAAACATCGTACATGTGTGTAACAGGTAACAGATTATATTTGGTAGTGAACATATTTGGCAGTATGATTTCGGTAGTGAACGTATAAGCGTAATTCTGGACAACAATTAAAGAGGAGACGATTCCTCGGTATTTCGGTTAGTTGGTTAGTATCGAATTCGTGACGTAGCCCCCTTCGAGGTGTTGTGCTCCAACGAGTAGAGACCACGTGCCAAGGATCCAGATATGCAAAGGGGCGACGACCACCGCGTAAACGCTGTCTTTCGAAAAACGAACAAGCTCTCGGGACAACCAGTTTTGTTTTCTAAAATACAAGCCACAAAGACGGGAGATCAGGGAGCGAATATTCTATATTTGAACCGTTTTGTTTTTCGTTTCTTTTTGTCTGTTTTCGATCGCGTGGACACACAAGTGGTCGTCGTGAAGAAAGAAAGAATCAGGTGGCGGCTATCGACGCGTTTCTTAACGCCTCACAGAACTATAAGGAAGCTTTCGAATCTTGTATTAACATCGATGGCATGACGTTCAAATTCACATGTGTCGAATTCAAAGATAGGTGAATTCGCTCGAACTTATCTCGAATCGTGGAACTAAATGAGAAAGAAGTTTGATCAGAATTAGAAAACCACCGACTGATATAATATAGAATACGATTCCTCTGATCTCCAGACTGTATGATACAACCTATCGACTATACGATTGCGTGGACTAGCACTAGATATTATCATGCGGTACAATATAATCATAAATACATATTCCATACGGTATCGTATGTTTTATCACTAGGCTGATTAATCTTTTCCCGTGCAGTCTGCGCGCTGCTTCTCGACAAATCGAAATCCAACCAAACTTCGGTATTCCCCACGATTATTTGTAATTGCTATTAATTTGGTGTTCTCGCGCACGCACGCGAGCCTGTCCCCGCGCTCGCTGGCGCTAGTGGCGGTAACAATACGTATCAATGGTTTCACTGAACCCGATAAAATCCGTCAATTCGAAAATTCTCCGCGTTCACAGTGTTGAGCAATTTGTTTGCGAGAAAACAAGGATAGAACACGGATTCGAAATAGAAACGTTGCCTCGTGTTGTCTTTTGATCGTTCGACGACAAAGACTGACCAGCACATTGACATACGATTTAGAATTTCACGTTTAACAATACTGTCCGCACTACACGAAATAAATCAATTCGCGATCTATCGCTTCGCTCTAGGTTACCACCATGTATTAGTTACGCCCACCAAATGCTGAACGACTATAGAAGTCTATCCCCGCACTGGCGGAACTTCAAATTCAAATCCGAGATGGACCGTTCCCTGTTCACGGATCAACGGAAACTAATTCCCTATGCAATCATTGAAGAAACCGTACCGATCCCGACGTCATTCGTTCCAACGGCTCGAACAAAGACTGCAGCGTGTTACAAAACGAATCAAGGAAGAGTGTATGCGGGATTTCCAATCAAAAGTTCCACCGCACGAATCCACTGAATCTGCCGAATCGCATCGAAACCAATTCTCAACTGGATCGCAGGTCCCCTCTCGTTTTGGCGACAATTGCCGTCCACTCTTCACCCCCCCCCCCCCCCCCCCCCCCCCCCCCCCCACCCCC